TTTGCCTTTTGGAGACCCCTCTCGAGGCCTCAAGGCTTCAAGGCTTCAACCACTACTTCACTCCTTCCTGAGCCCTAATTAGCTCCTATTTTTTGAAGCGCTTTGGCTCAAGCGGGCTTTGAACCCTGGCGAGTTGCTGAGTCCTGGAGTCGAGGTACCCCAAAAACAATGGCAGTTGGGGGCATCGATGCCGCGAGCACCGCATTCATGATGGTGTGCATGGCGCTGGTGCAGCTCATGACACCGGGTTTGGCGTTCTTTTATGGAGGCCTAGTCAAGGACACAAGTGTTCTCACCATGATGATGCAGAGCTTTGTGTCAATGGGAGTTGCCAGCATCATTTGGTTCCTTTTCGGCTATTCCCTATGCTTCGGGGAGAGTCTCTACTTCATTGGTAACCCCTTCACTCACTTCGGCCTCCGGGGATTGAACGTCAACGAGGCACTCCCGGACATGGCCATTCCGGGTCTCCTCTTCGCCGGGTACCAGGGCATGTTCGCCGTGATCACACCAGCACTGATGACCGGGGCATTTGCGGACCGCTTCCGCTTCAAGCCGTACCTGGCATTCATTGCCCTCTGGCTTGTGTGTGTATATGCGCCGTGGTGCCACTGGATCTGGGGCGGAGGATGGCTGGCGCAGTGGGGTGTGAAGGATTTTGCCGGGGGCATTGTGGTGCACGTCACCGCGGGATTCTCTGCCCTGGCAAGCCTCATTGTTGTGGGCAGGCGAGAGGTCTCGGAAGAGGACCTGGAGGACCACGACCGACCCCACAATGTCCCCTTTGTTGCTCTCGGCACGGCCATGCTCTGGTTTGGTTGGTTCGGCTTCAATGCTGGGTCAGCATTGGCAACCGGATCGGTGGCCGTTGGTGCAGCTGTGAACTCTGAGATTTCGGCTTCCGTAGCCTTGTTCCTCTGGCTCCTCATCGATTGGGTTCGCAACGGCCGTCCCGGCTTGGTTGGACTCTGTGTGGGCGCCATCGCCGGCCTTGCCACCATCACGCCGGCTGCGGGCTTCATCCAGCCCTGGGGTGCATTCATCCTCGGCATCGTTGCCACGTTCTTCTGCTACGCGTGCTGCGAGCTTCGAAAGCGGCTGGGCTTCGACGATGCTCTCGATGTGTGGGGCGTCCATGGTATGGGCGGCTTCATGGGCACGGTCTTGCTCGGGGTGCTTGCGGATCCGGAAGAGTGTGGTGCTCTGGAGGCGGCCCCCGAGTACTGCGTGAATCCCGGCCAGGTGACCGCCGGGATCGAGCAGGTCGGAAAGCAGCTCGTCGCGGCTCTACTTGCTGCCGCTTACTCTGTACTCGTGACGCTCGTGCTGCTGAAGGCAATCAGCCTTTGTATGCCTTTGAAGCCGATTGGTACTGGAGGACTTGATCTCACCGAGCACGGTGAGATGGCATACCACAGCCCTGTCCGTCAGTATATTCAAGAGCCCAAGAAAGGTTCGGATGACGACTCGGTGGTTTGAAACGTTTCAATTCATAGACGGTTCTCTTGCAGCCGCATTGGGGGGACAGGGTGCCAACAACACCCGTAAAGTTTTGGCGCATGAAGGATGCAGCTTGCAAAAGGAAGCCCCTTGTCAAGCCGCTTGACCCACGGATTCACTGATTGACTTGGCTGCTGTGCTTTCATCCGTGTCGCAGTGGAGCTGCACCCCCTTCCAATTCACTGCAATTTTGGGAATTTGCACAAGCAGCCAGAGGGCTGCGCCAAGTCTCGAGGTCTTGACCTCCTGTGGTGTCTTCTGCAGGAGATGCTTCTGCTACAGGATATAGCTCTACCAAAGAGTTGTCCATGTTGTTTCTTAAAGATGTTGGAGCCAGATTGCCGACCAAGTCTTCGCGCAGCATTACATGACAAAGTTTTGGAGTATGGCTTTGTCACCGGTTAAGCACGAAGCCTCGTTAAGCGCCATCAGTACGGTTCTCGGCAATCTGCAGCCTACTTTAGACTTTGATCGTAATGCGGTTGAAGGTGCGAGATGCATGCCGTTCCTTCATGTCGACATGCCAGGAACAACTTCGTTTGAATATTTTACAAGGTGCTCGCAGATTCTTGCCTTCTGGCCCGGCTACAGGGCATGCGAGAACCCCATCGCTTCGCAGACGCGTGTGACGAGAAGCTACCGCACACAGTCGCCCACTGCCGCTAAAGGTTATCCGAGCGGGCCAAACGGTATTTTTTCAGTATAATAGAATATAATACAACAGAATACTAGTATAATATAATATAATATAATATAATATAATATAATATCATTTATATAATAGAACTTAATATAATAGAACTTAATATAATAGAATGTAATAGAAGGTTGAGAAGGAACCCTAAGCCCTGCACCCTTCCTTCGAAGATCCGAGGTCCTGGCGCCACGTCCTGGGACCAGGCCGGTGGCCTGGGCCTCACAGGGAAAGGCCGGGTTAAAGGCTTTAGTATTCCTTAATTAAGGAATATACCTTAAATCATAATATTGAGGACCCCATAAT